ATATTTGGTCTTCATTTTTTAAAATTTATTTTTCTTTAAACATATTTTCAATCATATATTTATGGAATTCACACTTTTGCTCTTGAATTAATGTGGAGAAATAGAGAGGCGTGATTGTAGCATGTAAAAATAGAGAAAGAGTAAATAGGGTTCTATGACATAATCCTCTATGCCGCGTAAATTGAGGAAAAGCAACAAAGTCACTGTATTAAACACGTAAGATAAACGACGTCGTTACTTTCTCTAAAAAAAAAAAGCTACAGTGAGATAAAATTGAAGAATCTATTGTTCTTTCTACAGTAGGGAAACATTGCCCTTTTTATATAGTAGTGAAATAACAAGAAACGAGAGTTAAAACTAATAAAAAATTATATGTATAAAAACGATCATTTCATCTCATTAAATCATCACTTCGAGTGCGTTTGATTGACATGGAAAATATCACCTAGAAAAAAAAATGTTTTCCTTAAAAACAAGGAAAATTAGACATATTTTCAAAAGTTGGAAAATGTTTTCCATGGAAAAAAATAGCAATCAAACACTTCAAGTAAGAATTTAGATGGAAAATTGATATTTTTTATGGAAAATAAATGTAATCAAACACACCCTTCATATTTAGTAAAGTTTAAAATTTTTACCCATCGGTATGTATGTAAGTGCTAAAATAAATTATTTATACGAATTAAATTTAAAATAAATAAATTACTATTTTGTGAGTAATCATTTCCATTAAAAAAATAAATAAATGTACATTCCGGAGATGGATTAACATTAAAGGGAAAAATTTTCAACACCCGTTGGTCCATTGGAGGGGTATAGTTGTAAATACATAAATCATTCGTCCTAATTTCCAATACAAAACCCAGAGTGAATCAAAATTTCCAAAAAAATTCATTCCCGAAATCCGATGCACTGTGCTTATTTGTCCAATTTCCAACACATTAATCGACAGCACACTCTTCCATTAAACTCTGATGTCATCGCTCTATGGTAACAGCTAATCAAATCAAATTATCAATCTACTTTATCCCTTCTCTAGCCCTATCCCCAGAACCCGATTTCTTCACGGTCTTGGGTCCGACCCGCCATAGCTGTCGGATCTTGTAAACTGTCTCCCCTTGCATGTTGAATGACCCGATAACGTTGAGATCTTTGTCGATCTGGAGACTGATTCTTGGATTCGATCGAAAAGATTAAGGAAATATAATTGGTGGATTTTATTTCTAGACGAGAATTATTGACTTATATTCAGGAAATGGCGGCGCAGAGTCCGAGTATGGATCAATTTGAGGCCTATTTCCAGAGAGCTGATATGGATCGGGACGGTCGGATCAGTGGCAACGAGGCTGTTGCGTTTTTTCGAGGCACCAACTTACCCACGCCAGTCCTTGCTCAGGTTCCCCTGCCTTTTTTGTTATCTATTATTTCATGTTGGTAACCAGTTATGGCGTTTTTAGTTGGAAACTTAGTTGTATGGTTAATAAAATTATGAACCGCTTTGAGCTCAATAATAATTACTGTGACTGTCAGTTTGGATTACAATTGAACGGGGTAGGTAGATACTCTGTTAATTACCGGGTGGAATAGTAGGAGTAGATGATTATGTAATTTGAGCTATGTTTAAATTCTCAATTCTCAGCAGTCAATTTGAGGGTACAGCTAAATGAGGAAGATGAAGGCAACAGTTAAAGCATTTTTGTCATTTAAAATAGGGAAATGAATAGGTGAAAGACAAGTCACACCTGTTCTAAGAAGGAGATATCTAAAGACAGGTGCAAACAACAGCAGAATAAGTTGCTGTGCATATTTTTGGGACTGTGGGTTAACCTTGTCAAACTGAGATGAATAGTAGAAGTCACGCTTAGGCAAGCTATATTGCCCTATTCTCATGTCCAAGCAAGATATAGCTGACAAGCAAGGTTCTAGGGAATCAGATCGCTGCTTCTGCTGCATAGACCTGAAAATTCTTAATTAATATCATGTTATATAGCTTCTAGCTGTGTGTGTATACCCTTGGTGCATTGTTTTCTCCCCTACAGAAAAACTTTGGATTCGTTAGAAACAATAACCATACTTGATATGCGGATATGGGATTGAAGGCGAGCAACAATTGGGCTAGATGGAAATTTTATCTGCACAATCTCTTGATGATGATATTTCTTGTGAGTTCAATGTGCATTTTATCTTTAACATGTGCTCTGACTTTAATTGTGGATCGAAGCATTTGGTTCCAGGTGGTGCCTATCTTTAAGAATAAATGAAGTTTCCATGATTTTTCAAATTATAGAAGTAATACCTATGACTTATGGGAGAATGATTAAGCATGGTTTAAGATATAATACGAAGCCCTCAGACTTTGGTTTTATGCACGGGAGATATACTGTGAAAGCTAATTGCTTGTTAAATAATGGAAAAGTTTAGAGGAAACATACGATTTGCGTATGGTTTATATTAGTTTAGAGAAAACCTTGTATTAGGGTACATGGGGATGCTACATGGTGGGTGCTAGAGAAGGAATTTTTATTAACTATATCAGTACAAGATGTGATGACAACAACAGTAGAGATTATCTTTTCACCATTTTGTTGGAGAATCTGCTAGTGCGTGTAAGAATACGTGAGTTGCATGGAGGCATAGTTAAAAAATATTAAATTTAGGATTTTATCAACGTTAACATAATTGAGCAGTGTTTTCTTGTAATTAGTGATGACCAATTCGTCATAGAATTTTTTCCTTTTTGTAATTAACAACAATATATTTGATGTATTCTGTTCAATGAATAAGAGGATGAAAATTCCACTAAGCCCAGGCTGTCTACATGGTATTGGAGCCATCCTATTGTACTTTTCCATTCCAACCTTCATCGTGTATATTTATTTTGGCTGTCTCTGTTGTTATTTTTCTACCTTATCTTTCTGTTCAAAGGAATCATCACGTTTCACCATGACATACACCTCTAACATATTGAATCTTAACCCAAAAATACTGCTGAACTTAAAGTATAGTAGTTTCCTTTAAAATCAACGGTGGACACTATCTTGAGAGGTCACATTTACTAAGAACTTACTTGAAGGTAAGGGAAAACTAAATTGTTTGCTTGGTCTAGTAATTAGCAAGACATATCAAAAGTTTTTGCATAGGATACAGGACTTCTAAATAATATCATGCTTATAGAACACCATGCAATCTGAAGTCG